GAAGTTGTGTATCGCTGCCAATACTACCATCACTGGCGATGCGGTTCTCACTTTCCTCTACACCACTGCCAGCGATCGCAAGAATATCAATATATACTGAGATATATGCGCGCAAACAGAGACCAAATGTATATATCTATATAATACACTACTTCTTGTATGGTATAACTCACTCCATCTCAACGATAAACGCGATCTCATCTATTGATTAGTACCACGGATTCACTACAACACGAGGGAGGTTTACTATATTTTATATTTAAAACGTATATTTTATGCGTTTGAATGATATAACTTCATTTAAAACGGTTGCACAATCAAGGTTATTTAAAAAAGTAAAGTAGAAAAATAAAAGTTTTCACCAAAAAAGTGCTCCCCGGCGGGGAATCGAACCCCGGTCTCCCGCGTGACAGGCGGGGATACTTACCACTATACTACCGAGGATAGCATATCAACATAGGCTTTATTTTACAACTTCAAACTTATAGCTTAAAGTTGTATACTTTTGAATGAATAGAAATAAAGTTTTATTTATTACATGCTACCAAGTTCAAACTTATAATCCTGCTAATAAACCGCTAACATTACATATAACTCACATTATAACATGAAATAAAACTTACAATTAATCATAAATTGAGATTAAAATCAATGATATCATAAATTGGGGTGTATATGCCGTCCACAGTAACCAATGGCTGTATTCCATGACTCACTCAGTCGGCAGTCGGCGTTTAATACAATTAAAACACTTTTACTTTTTATATTACAATTCATTCATTTAATTATCATATTATTTATTAATTACAACCAAACACTTAACAAAAGTAACCAAAACTAATCCCTTTAGCTATGAATCAAATGTATATAAATATGTGTGTCTTTTCGTTAACTATATTCCTGTTACTGATTGTCAACACAATGTGTGGGTATGTATTGAACGGTTAATTCACACGTGATTTAAATGCTATTTACTGTTGACTGCCATTGAGTTAGCATTGAATTGAATGTATCATTAAGTCATTGATATAGCCGTTGATTGTCTGTCGGGAAGTACTAATGGTTTGGTTTTGTGTCTCATTTCAGGCGCGATTTTTATGCCATTTTAGGCGTCCCTAAGTCAGCGAATGTGAACCAAATCAAGGAGGCTTACAGCGAGTTAGCCAAAGAACTGCATCCCACCGGCAAGTTCCAGGACTTGCGCGCCGCCTACGAGGTACACATCGCCGCACACACCGTCCAAACCATTCGCTCCGAGCGCCGGTATCTCTAATACATGGCTGTCTCTCTACCCCTTCAGGTGCTGTCAGACCCGGAGAAGCGCAAGACGTACGACCGACACGGCGAGGAAGGGCTGAAGAGTGACTCGTTTCATGCGTTTCATGACTTCAACCCGTTCGGGGGCGGCGGTCGGGAACGGAAGCGCGAGATACCAAAAGGCAGGGATGTGGTGATGGACCTGTGGGTGACGCTCGAGGAGCTGTACTCCGGGAACTTCGTGGAAGTGGTGAGACATAAGGCGGTGTATCGGCAGACGCGGGGGACGCGGAAGTGTAACTGTTGGCAGGAGATGATGACCCAACAGTTAGGCCCCAGCTATTTCCTAACGATACCCCACCAGGTGTGCGACGACTGCCCAAACATGGAGTTAGTCGACGAGGAAAAGCTGCTGAAGATCGAGGTGGAGGCCGGTATGAAAGACGGACAGACCCAGACGTTTGTCGCCGAAGGTATGGCACCGCCCACTCATGCGGTGGTGTGTTGTGTGAGATAAGTATATGTTACTAATGTTGTGGTCGATCGACAGGCGAACGACCGACAGGCGAACAGCGCATCGATGGAGAACCGGGCGATCTGAAGGTGCGGATCCGGACGCAACCGCACCACACGTTTGAGCGCCGGGGCGACGACCTGTACACGAATGTCACAATCAGTCTGACGGACGCGTGGGGGGGCTTTCAGATGTCGATCGCACACCTCGACGACCATAAGGTGTCGGTGAGCAGGGATAAGGTGACGTGGCCGGGCGCTCGCATGCGAAAGGCGGGCGAAGGGATGCCTAACTACGAGAACAACAACCTTCGCGGCACTCTTTACGTGACGTTCGACGTGGACTTCCCGAAGGCTCCCGTGTGCTCAATGACGACCACAAACAGTCCATTAAAGAGATGGAAAAACTTATTAAAAACTTATTATTAAAGAAAACTATACTCGCGTTGTGTATAGGAAATCATTTCATTGTTTTGTTTGTTTTTTGTAAAAACATTTTCATAAATATTTGTATTTATAATATATTTTTAATTTAATTTAGAACTAATAAATTGATTTTTTTCATTCATACCATTAAAATCAATTATATTTAACTTTTGAATGCAGACCGTGTGTTGACATCACAGTAAACGGCGGCCAGTGATTGGCTGACACCGTGTTTGGGGTGTATATGCCCTCCACTGTAGCCAATGGCTGTATTCCACGACTCACTCGTATAGCAGTCGGCGTTTAATACAATTAAAACACTTTTACTTTTTATATTACAATTCATTCATTTAATTATCATATTATTTATTAATTACAACAAACACTTAACAAAAGTAACCAAAACTAAGCCCTTTAGCTATGAATCAAATGTATATAAATATGTGTGTCTTTTCGTTAACTATATTCCTGTTACTGATTGTCAACACAATGTGTGGGTATGTATTGAACCGTTAATTTACACGTGATTTAAATGCTATTCACTATTGACTGCCATTGAGTTGGCATTGAATTGAATGTATCATTAAGTCATTGATATAGCCGTTGATTATCTGTCGGGAAGTACTAATGGTTTCGTTTTGTGTCTCGCATTTCAGGCGCGATTTTTATGCCATTTTAGGCGTTCCTAAGTCAGCGAATGTGAACCAAATCAAGAAGGCTTACCGCAAGTTAGCCAAAGAACTGCATCCCGACAAGAATAAGGACGACCCCACGGCCACCGGCAAGTTCCAGGACTTGGGCGCCGCCTACGAGGTACACATCACCGCACACACCGTCCAAACCATTCGCTCCGAGCGCCGGTATCTCTAATACATGTCTGTCTCTCTACCCCTTCAGGTGCTGTCAGACCCGGAGAAGCGCAAGACATACGACCGACACGGCGAGGAAGGGCTGAAGAGTGACTCGTTTGGCGGCTCCGACCCGTTTGCCAGCTTTTTCGGCGACTTTGGCTTCTTTGGCGATGGCTTCGGGGGCGGCGGTCGGGAACGGGAGCGCGAGATACCGAAAGGCGGGGATGTGGTGATGGACCTGTGGGTGACGCTCGAGGAGCTGTACTCCGGGAACTTCGTGGAAGTGGTGCGACATAAGGCGTCGTATCGGCAGACGCGGGGGACGCGGAAGTGTAACTGTCGGCAGGAGATGGTGACCCGACAGTTAGGCCCCGGGAGGTTCCAAATGATGCAGCAACAGGTGTGCGACGACTGCCCTAACATGGAGTTAGTGGACGAGGAGAAGCTGTTGGAGATCGAGGTGGAGGCCGGTATGAAAGACGGACAGACGCAGACGTTTGTCGCCGAAGGTATGGCCGCCCACTCATGCGGTGGTGTCTTGTGTGAGATAAGTTGTGTGACTAATGTTGTGGTCGATCGGCAGGCGAGCCGCACATTGACGGAGAACCGGGCGATCTGAAGGTGCGGATCCGGACGCAACCGCACCACACGTTTGAGCGCCGGGGCGACGACCTGTACACGAATGTCACGATCAGTCTGACGGACGCGTTGGTGGGCTTTCAGATGTCGGTCGTACACCTCGACGGCCATAAGGTGTCGGTGAGCAGGGATAAGGTGACGTGGCCGGGCGCTCGCATGCGAAAGGCGGGCGAAGGGATGCCTAACTACGAGAACAACAACCTTCGCGGCACTCTTTACGTGACGTTCGACGTGGACTTCCCGAAGGGAGAGCTCAATGACGACCACAAACAGTCCATTAAAGCCATTCTCAACGAAGACTCAAAGACGAAGGCTTACAATGGCTTAAGAGGCTATTAATAGGACTTAATTTAGATTTAGATTAATATTCCAATGAAAAACACATAAGTATTTAAACGCCGAAGAATACTATACTCGCGTTGTGTATAGGAAATCATTTCATTGTTTTGTTTGTTTTTTGTAAAAACATTTTCATAAATATTTGTATTTATAATATATTTTTAATTTAATTTAGAACTAATAAATTGATTTTTT